ACACTTACACACTCCATCCATGTACCTGTGGTACTTTGTATATAACTCCACTCATTATACTATATTGTCATTATCACTTGATGGTTTCTCCCCCACTAGACCATGAATTCTTTTGGAGCAGAGTTAGTCTCATTATCCATTTATGAATTCCCAAGACCAAACAGAGTACCTGGCATAATTAAATGCTCAATAAAGATGTGGTGAACTTTGAAAATAGTGAGTCCATGTAATAGAGCACACCAGCAGTAGAGATCATGGAATCCTATAGCCAAGTTCAAATCCTACCTCCACTTAAAACCTAGGCAATCTTAAATAAATTAAAATTACTTAGCTGTGTCTTCATTTTTCTCATCTAGAAAATGAACATATTAATAGCATTATAATAGAATTAAAAGAGCTAATGCCATGTAAAATGCTTACTATAGTGTCTGGTACACAGTATGTATTTAAAAAGTTAGCTACTGTTATCATTAGAATAGAAGAAAAAACTGTCTTGCAGGGTGCTAATTGACAGACTCAAGAGGTCAGGCTCAATCCTATGGGCAATGGGAAATAAAATGTCACTGGAATCCTCTTAAGTAACAGACATATTAAGTTATTGAGAACACCCTACTGGGAAAGGGGAAGGAGAATGGAGGGAACACAAACCTTGGCAGGCTTATGGTTATGCTCTCTGCCTCGTTCCCTGCTTCCTCTTTCCCCACTGTTTCTCCCTAGTTGTCCAGGGCCAAAAGCCCCATGGCCATAACTCAGCATTCCCTTAGGAAAGCTGCACTTTAGAGAGAACTAATGAGTTTATGTTTACCTACAGATTTTCCTCTGAGGAGCAAAAAGATAGCAACTTCAAGAATGGAAAACACAAAGAAATAAAGTGGAGATAAGGCAGGACACCAGATGGATTATCTTGGGTTGGCTTTCAGGGAGTAGGCTTTCAGGACAAATAGCCCCATGTGGATTGAGCCTACACACCCCAGAGGCATCCTCTGGCAGTGCCTGTGCTTGCATGTGCTTCCATGGGTCAAAGAGGCAAAGAAGCAGGATCTAGGAAAAGGAATGAGTACTAAAAAGCTGAAGCTACAGAAATAAGAATTCTAGCCCAATTTGAAGAATACTGCACCAGAAGTATTCAAAGAGGGAATAGGCTGACCACAGAAAAAAAAGCTCCCTACCATTAGAGGGATTTAAATACAGACTGGGAGTGATCACTTGCTGGGGACGTTCGACATGGGTGATGGACTAGATTTAAGACTCAAGTTCAATAAACATTTGAATATCTACTCTATGCTAGCCACTGTGAGAGATGAGGTGCTAGGAACACAGAGATGAAAAATGGTATGGTTGTCCCCTCCAGGAGTTCACTGCCTAATCGAGGAGATGAACAATATAACATGGTAAGTGCTGGCAGAAATCTACATAGGGTACTATGCGGCAGAGAGCAAGTCCTCAGATTCTGTGCCTATGACTCACTGGTAAGGAGCAATATGCCATTAATTACAAATGGAAATGCTTCATAAGCAGTTTAAAAGCAAATGTTATCAGGTGCTATTGTGTTACTTCAAGAACAGACAGTTAAGCATGTCAGTTAACCTTTGCTATTGAGTCGATACTTACTTCATCCTGAACAGTACCCACACCTATGAGCATTCTCATTTATGATATCTTTTTTTTTTTTAAAGCAGGCTCCAAGCCCAGCATGGAGCCCAGCATGGGGCTTGAACTCATGACCCTGAGATCAAGATCCGAGCTGAGATCAAGAGTCAGATGCTTAACTGACTGAGCCACCCAGGCGCCCCTCTCATTTATGCAATAAATATATTGATGTCTGCTATGTGCCAAGCACTGGGTAAGCTCTGAGGAATGGACAAAGAAAGACAGTCCCTGCATTCAAAGAGTTAGAACATTCCTCTTCATCTTTTCCTCCTCTTTCTCCTATCCCCCTTTATTGACCAGATGATACCTTAAATTCCTTCTGGAAGTAGATGAGTTATTAAGATATAAGCTTAATCAAAACGTGACTTGCAAAAAGCAAGAGGGGGCTGGTGATAGGAGGTGTTATGGGAAACCAAATGGGAAACACTGTCTGCAGACAGGGTATCTGCCAAAGTATGAGACGCTGACTGCATTAAAAAGTCAAAGGTTATATGTAGGCCTTTTTGTCTACAACTTCCCTACCACCATTTTTTTCTTCTCTCAACTTAATATTATTAGCACAGATTATTAACAAGAATTATACATTCATTCATTAAATCATTCACTAGTATTTACCTGATAGAAATAGTACCCGAGTACCTGACAGGAACTGTAGGAAACACAGACAGGGTAAAATACTGGGATCCAGGACTTGCAAAGCTACAAAAGATCTCTAAAACATCATCTCAGTCCAAACCTATCATTTATTTCACAGATGGAGAAGTGAGGTAGAGAGAGGCTGAAATCTTTCATGAATTCACATCTTTGTGCATTTATTGAATCATACTCTGCCAGGCACCAGGAATATAAGGATGGATAAGGCTTTCAAGGAGAACTTAATCTCGTGGGAGACAGACAAATGCACGACCCCTCAATTACCTCTGTAAATGAAGTCATATACATACAGACATGTTCAGTGTAGGACAATATTAGAAGTACACAGTACTCACACTGCCCAGAGTGGTTAAGAGCAAAGGTGCTGGAGTCGTCTTGGATTTGAACCCCAGCTCTGTCACTTACCCATCTGTATAACACTGGGCAAGTTACTTAAATTCTCTATACCTCAGTTTCCACATCTTTAGAATGGGGATAACCATAATAGCACCTACTGTAAGGTTTTCGTATTAAATTAGATAATGCATATAGAACACTCGGCACAGGACCTGGAACAGACTAAGTATCTTATTTCACCTTCAGCACTCACCTGCTGAGCCCTGGTCTCAGAATCCTCCTCAACACAGCCTTCTAAGCCATCTATTATCATTTCGCTGCCTCCAAGATAAAACAAATCTGCTATTCCTAGTCTAGAACCTAAGTGTATTGTTTACTACTCTGTTTTTTTCCCACTACACTATGCTATTACTCATTTTACATGCCTTAAAAATAATCCAAAGAAAAATGGTCAGATATTCAAACCTCAATTGCTCAATAAGACCGTGGCTTTGGCCAAAAATCTCTGAAGAAGAAAACCCCTGGAAACAAGGAACATTTATCAAACGTCTACAGGGAGAGACCCACAGGAAGAAAAACAAAAACAAAACAAAGCAAAGCAGTAATTACTACTTTGAGGAAGCAAGGATTTCCACAGCCTATCTGTTAAGGGTTTACCAGTCTAGCAGGGAAGAGGAGATAGGACACCAACTGCAACTTTCTCCTTGATGCACCCACCACATCTACTACCTAGCACAGCACCTGTGACATGTTTTTGTACTTATTTATCAGTGTTTCTCTTGTCATGCTAGTCCATGAACTCCATGAAGGCAATTATCACACCTTCTCCATCCTGGTATCCTCAAGCATAGCACAGTGCCTAGTACAAAGAAGGTGCTTCAGAAAAGGTTGATGAATTATAAATGAACACAGAGAAAACCATCAAAGGCAGGGAAAGAAGACATCAGTGTAGATCAGAATAGTTCTAAAAGTCAAGACAGCCTTGGGCTAAAACCTTAAGTACAGGTACATTTAGAAACACACAGAGGGAAAGGATAGGCATTCTAGGCAGACAGGTCAGCACCAACAAAGACCTGGCAGTAACCAGAAACATGGTGCACGGTATGTTAGAACCAGAAAGTTTTAAACATGACTTAGTCCAACAGTTCAATTCTCATGGGGATGTTGTAAACATTCTACTAAAAAAAACCATGTACTACTAAGCAGAGGAGCTGGCATATCACAAACATTCACTAACTGGTAGCCAGTATTACTATTACTCAAAAATAATAATTGTCAAACACTTAGTAGGAGCCTGTTGTATGCAAGGCAGCATGCTGAGGGAAAGAACTACAACAACGAGCAAGACAGATCTGGACTCTGCTCTCTCATTTAGCTAAGAGTCTAGTGGGGAAGACAGACAAAATAATCCTTGGTAGGCCTGGGCTAGGGGAAGTATGGGGGGTGTGGGGGGGCTGAAGGAACCAAGAGTAGGGTCATCCAATCAGTGGGCAGAAGGAAAGAGCTCCCTGATTATCAAAGTGTGTCTTGAGAAACCCAAGGGGTTCTGAGTCCCCTTAAGGACCCCAAGGCTTCAAAGCGAGATTTTGCTTGAATAAAAGGTATTGTGGCTAAACAAAGGTTTAAAAACCACCAATCTAGTTCAATCTCCTCTTTTAAGAAGAATAAAATAGGGCCCATATGAGGTAAATTATACACTTGAGACAACAAATACTTCAAGTTAGTTGTAGACTGGGATACTTGCTTTGAACTTGAGCCGGAAACTACTCACTGATCTGCATGATATCACATCATTCTGGCAGATGAACAAGCACTGGGGGTAGATGCATCCAGAATTCACAGGCACTGGCCAGGCAGGCCGGCTGGCCCTGATCGGATGTTGACATGCTTTTTCTACCCTAGGTCCCAAGCCAGCTCTCTCTGCCAAAATGATGCCTCCAATTCCTCTCTGAGGTTGGCCAGCCTCACCTTCCAGGAGGAACTCACTGGCTCCAGGAGTAGGTCTGCTTCTGGGCCACCTATCTCGTAACCATGCTTTATCCTACTAACATCCTCCAGCACCACGTGGTTTGGCAAGTTGAGAACAAGAACTGAGTTTAACCAGTTATCACAGCCTGTTTAATACCTAGCCTGAGCTGGCTAGACCCATCTCTCATCTCCCTAAATACCATTAAGCTAATCACTCTTCCCATGGGGGGGAAGGGGGGTCCAGCAGAATCAAATTATCATTAAATTAAAGGACCTATATAGAAAAACCAATATTCCTTTGGTTAATCCTTACTTTTACACCTCTCAGGAATGAAATGCTACTTCGTGTTTTGGAGATGAAACTTCTGTATATAAAGAAAGGGGTAGTTTACTTGTTTAGATAAGTCTGCAGTTTAGGTCTTCAAACTGAGGGGAAACAAGTACTTTGGAATCTGGAAAAAAAAATGGGTTTAAATCTTAGTGATACCACTTAGTAGTTGCAAGATCCTGGGCATTCTCATAATACTCTGAACCTCAACTTTCTTGATCATAAATAGGGAATACTAATAAAGTTACCGTCACAAATCAGAGACTCAAAATACTCTTTGGAATCACAGTCACTTATGAAATGTATGTATCAACTTTCACATGATATCATAAGACCATACAGTTTTAAATTACCTATCCCCAGAGCATAAAGAATGGAGAAATGGAACCAAGGTGCTCTGTATAGCATGGGCTAAGCTCAGGATAGCACAGGCGGACCTGGGTTCGAATCTGCACCTCCCAGCTCACCAACTGTGGAATCCTAGGAAAGTTACACCAATCTTTTTAGCCTCAGTCTCCTCATGTATAAAATGCAATTAATACCACCTAACTCACAGGGGTGCTATTAGTAATGAATGAGATAATGTAAGTAAAGGACTTTAAACAGAGGCTGGTTTATGGTAAGAACTCAATAAACAGTAACCTTTTCCACCAGTAGCTCATTTCCTAAACCCTCTTTTCCATACACCTCTGCAACACAAGAGAAACACTTAGCAAAGCCTAAATTACCTCAATTACTAGAGAAACAAATAATGAAAAGACAAAAGAGGAAAGAAATGAATGAACTGCTGGCTGCTATTCCAACTTATCATACTAATGGCATCTGATATTGGAAAACACAGGTACAAAATCCTGAAGAACAAAACCACAGCATGTACAACCTTCCCAAAGAAGTGGCACAGAGCACCAACTGCGGCTTAGTTAGGCTATCCATTACCATTATCTGGGCCCCACCGTAGTCTCTCTACCAAATAGAAAGGGCTACAGGGAGACAACTGTGACACCACATGCAAGTCACTACTTCTTTGTAAACCGAACCTTTATTTTTTCAGCTCAAAACCCATCTCTAACACAAAGATTTCACTGACTCCCCCCAGCAGACTCAAGTGCTTGCCCCATTGAATCTTTTACACACTTCCATTATAACAATTATCTAGCACTATAGAGCTATTTGCATGTCTCTTCCCTACACTCTAAGTTGGTAAAGATCCTGTCTTATCTTTGAATTGCCAGTGCATAACACACAGTAGACCTCATAATTACAAATTATAAGGATGGATTTCACCTTTTTCTTCACTAGTTAAGGCTGCTAAGCAACAGCTGGGTAGACTTTAGTATTACATAAACTAAGGCCTGCCAGACCAGGCCTCCGAGTTTTTGCTTGTTTAGGGGAAGGGAGCTTGAAGGGATAATTGGCTGTTCCTACTTCTCAGAGTTATTTCCTCAAACACACAAAAGACACAACCAGTCCATACAGAATTTCCAGACTACAGATTATATTCTTTCTCAGTAAATAAAACAAGTAACAGAAGTTTCTGGGACAGATGCTAGTGGGTTATATATAAAGCTGACCTCTAGGCATGACACTCTAAGTCTATAATATACTAAGTATATTATACAACTAGAAGCTCTTAAGTTCTTAAAACATAAGGAAACAAAAGCTAAGAAGCAAAAATAAAAAATGTCTTACAATCAAAACTTTAAGTTTTCTTCTCTGCTAATACTTTTGCTCTTTATCTCAATGAACCCTGATACATGTAACTGAAATTAGCCTCCCTCAAAGGAGAGCTCATGACTAACAAACCATATGTAATAACTTCAATACTATATTTACTTTTTCCAGGGCGCTTTCAAATATATCTCACTGAACCACAGCCAACTGTAATCATAGAAACTTAAAGCTGGAAGGGGCCTTGGAGGTCATTTCCACAACCACCCCATGTCACCAACCGAGTGGTATCCAAACACCTTTAGTGGTTGGGAGGTATGGGTCTAAAATGCTTCTTTTAAAAATCTCCCCCTGCTCTAACCACCTGTCGGTTACTCAGTCTCCTGCCACCTTAATGATCCCAATCAGGTAAACCAAATCTACCAAGTCATCCCACCACCAAGCAACAGTCTTGACTTCTCAAGTCCACTTCTACTCCCTTTTCTCTGAGAGAGGCCTCTCCCCCAGTCTTCCCCAGTCACCCACAAAAAACAGAGCCAGGACCTCTAAGATTCTGATCACTCAGAGATCCCCTTGGTTCCATTCCTGACGATCAATCCCCTTCCTCTATATGGTCTATATGCTGTCCTGTGCAAGGCCACAAGCACCCCTTGTTGTGAATGTACCTTTGGCCTCCAGAATCATCTCCCTTTCCTTTCTCACCTTCTCTTTACTTCTCAGAGCTGTCCCTTCAGTCCTTTCAAACTCAATGTCTCTTTCCTCCTAGTGATTCAAGGACCACTGGTAATTGAATACATCCATTGTTAAATGCCTATTAAACAGGTAAAGGGGACATACATCCTCAAGGAGCTCACTCTCAAAGAACTTATACGTTTAGAAGGAGGCAGAAACAGAGAATCATTTACCCCATAAGACTCAGTTCCTTTGGAAACCCTTCCCTAGCCCAAACTAAATTGGCCCCCTCTTTTCAGTGCCATCATTATACCTCTGATGCAGTGATTAGTCTTCCTTGTGTGTCTCCCACCACTAGGCTGTGGGCTCTTCAATGGGAGGGCCCCTATGTCCCTAGCACTTAGCCCAGGACTCAGCACAAAGATGATATGTAATGTTTAATGAGTGAATGGATGAATTCCGGTATATAATCATTCATTCATCCATTCAGTGCCCAAAACTTTACTGACTACACATTATGTATAAAGTCCTAGAGTGTAAGTATAAGTAAAATAGTTCTTACATAAAAATAACGCTATAATACTAGATTAGCACTCTTCCCCGGTCCGCGTCCCCAACCCCCACCCCCAAACCTAGCCTCCAATCTCCCACAGCGAAAGCCCTTACAGAAGTCCACGCCCCTCCAACTCAAGCTACCTCTCAGCCCTTCAGTCCTACCCTAGGACCCCCAGCTAATAATCTCAAATCTTAACACCCCCATCCTCTCTGGCTTCTCTCCCTATCTTCCATCTCCACCCTTGAGGTTACTGCAAGTCTTCTACCCCCACGTCCACCTCCGAGTCTCCGAGTCCCCGAGTCCCCGAGTCCCCGAGTCCAGGGTACCTCTGATTTCCCTCTCCGCGCACCCGCCCCCCAGTTCGCTCCTTCCCTCGCAGGGTCCCGCCTCCCCTAGGACCCTACTCCCGATACCTCTCCTCCCCTCCCTTCAGTTTCAGGCTGAGCCTCTTCCCTCCTTTACTCTGAACTCTTCTTACCTCATCTAGCTCCCGTTCCCCGGCAGGACCTCCTCCAACCTCCACCTCCACCACTGCCGCCATCTTCACAACTCTCCCCCTCCCCCGTCCCCGCGCGAGCCAGCTGCTTCCGCCGCTCAAGTGCTCCTAACCAATCGGCGGCTCGAGCTCCAGCAGGGGGCGGGGCATCAAGGCAGGCCGAGCTCCGAGAGGGACTAAGAGACCGTCTACCTGCTACTCCTTAAAGGTCAGGGAGAGGCGGTTTCCATGCACTTCCAAGCTTCGGTGGAGGAGGGTTCTTGGAGAATGAGAAATTGGACTTGTATTATTTTTAGTGAAAATATTTCACCAATTTTCCCCTTTGCACAGCCAAAAAGAAGAGGCTCTAAACCGTCAACTTTCGCGACGCTCCCTCACTCTGAGCTGCAAGGAGTGAAGCGTGGAAGCTGAGGACTACGTTCCCCAGAATGCATTGACTCTGACCCGGAAGTTTAAGTTCCGCGCTCTGGACAGATTTGTAGTGAGTGGAAATTTGCATAAAATATACATTTCAAAAAATAGACATAAAACATACAGAGATACACACGAATGTATTTTGCTGATTATAGCACATGTCTTCCTGCCTCGATGGGAGTCATCTTTCAGAAACAGCGGCTTCTTGAGGCCACAGAACAAATTCCCGGACTTGGGGAGGCGTAAAGAGTCGTGCTCCGGGTCAGAAGGCGGAGGTCAGAGGGCAGAATTGGCGGGAGAATGGGTTTGTGGTCCACGATCTGAGGTAGCGGTGGCTCTTCGAGGTCCGTTGTCCCGGGTGAGGGGCTTGGGGGGTTGTTGATGGGGAAGGGAGTTGCCGAGAATGGGTGGCCATCAAGGAATGCACAGAACAGCGCGTTCCGGGGCGCGGGGGAAGTGGCTGCGCCGCTTAGCCTCTTGAAGCTGAGAGAAGAGCCTTGCGGGACCTCCGCGGCCCCCAAACTGCTTCTTGCCCTCTCACGCCTTAAGGTCGCTTTACAAATCTCCGTGCTCTTTCCTACCACACATCGTGCGTCCGCAACTCCTATCTTTACCCCCACGCATACACCTTATTCTCTGTGCTGCACCCCAACTTAAAGCTACCTAACTCATTTCCAGCCCCTCGTTATCTGTGCATCCGGACCCAACACCTTACAAACCTATGGCCTCTGCACACTTACCCCTGGGCGTCCCAGCTGGATCTGTGGGGTGAATAGTGCAAGGATGACCAGTGGACTCACAATAGAGTGCGTGTCCACTTTATTTTAGGACCAACAGGAACCATCCACAGGCATCTTATTTACTTAAAAGGAATTATTTTTATTATGCAAAAGAATGCAGAGAATATTATAAATACTTTATAACCCAACCACCCCACATTGACTCTTGACATCATGATCTATTTGTGTCCTCATTTTTTAAAAAGATAAAATAATACGGATAAAGTTTGAACTTATTTGTGTCTTCTTCTCTCAGACCCATTACTCTTAAATCTTTCCCAGACACAACTATTATCATAGTTAACTGGGTATTCTCCCAGTCCACTGAGAAAAATTATGGGTATTCACAATGTAATTGTATTATTTCATTTTGTTTTTTGATGAAAATAAGTGCTATTTTCTATATCATTCTGTAACTTGTTCTTTCACTATATTTTTTGAGGACTGTCCATGTTCATGTATATTTACATCTAATTCGTTTCTTTTAACTCTTAGGTAGTGTTCCATTATATTATATATATAGTATTTTACTATTCCATTTATCCATTCTTCAACTAATGGACATTAGAATTTTATGTTTTTTGCTATTAGAAATATTGTATGTGTCTGTACACAGATGAGTCTCTCTAGAGCTGCACTGTTCAAATAAGTTAACTACAAGCCACACATATGTGGCTGTTCTTGAAATGTAGCTAGTCAGAATTAAGATGGGCTGGAAGTGTTTATGAGAGGGCCAATCCTTTACATTGTAGACTTTTTAATTTTTTAAATTTTTTCTGGTCTTAGAGGAAAAGTATATGCAATTTCCTTATTAC